ATATTGAAACGGAATAATATGAATTCCAGCGCATGACCATACGTCATGGACAGGTGTGATGAACCAATGGGCAATCGAATAGAGCTGTTTCAGAATATCCAAATCATTTAAATGCATTTTCCAAACTGGAACAATCTACTGAACGATTGGAAAAGCAGGGATGAATAATATGGGGAATATTTCCTCTCAGAGACAATTCCGCTAAGATATTCAAAATATAATATGAAATGAAATATCAACATTCCTTCAGGGATACGGTAGTTGATCTTTAATTATGACCTTGACTACTAGGTGTGTTGCAAGTATGAAAATTCACCTCTCCATTCAAACTAAACGTACATTCATCCGAAATAGTGATTTTATACAAGAAATGCTGATGCAAGTTGATCCGTTCAATGAGACTTTCACAAAGAGTCGATACGTCTGGCGAAATCATCTTCGTTAAATTCATGAACTAGTCTAATCATATATGGATGAAATTTGTACTTATGAAGGATCTTGAAAAACATTTGTACGACTGATTCCTGATTCTCGAGATAACTTAGTGAGAGATTGCGAATTTTCCATTAGTCCAACGTGCCCTAAAACTGCAGAACAAATAACTTCATCGTTGACAACTCCTGAATGGTTATGCTCTTTATTGTTCAGATCCAGTTTCCATATATTTGTTCAATAACTCCAAAACGTCTTTGTGACGTACATTTCTTTCTGGATGATTATCACTGAACATAGGGGCAGTAGCTCTAGCACTATTTCCATTCTGGTAGTACGAACTCACTATTTCAATCCGTTCTCGAAGCGTACAAACCATTGCTTCATCTGGTTGGTAATCGTTATTGTAGAATGAGATGAATACAAAATGAAGAAAATATAGAATTCAAACTTAACTAGGCAAAATTAGACTTTTTTGAAGTACACTTCACAAAAACACCTATGAAACCTATGTAACAGATTATACAGAAATTCACTTAAGGTGGCTCGTTTTCACCTCAAATGATTTTTAGCCTCTAAACTATGAGCTTCACACCATAATGTATTAAACTTTGTTGAAATGTGTTCATCTGTTCATCTGCTCAAGAATCTATGCAGCTCGCCCCTTTTGAATTTAGGAATTTTAGGATCCATCCAATAGTTGGTAATCGTGACAAATTGTAATATTGATAACGTGTTAGGTCAGGTACTTAGAGCAGATACATGTCCACACTACTTAAGACGCAACTTGACAATGTGTGGTAGTTACTTATAAGCCGAAACCGGTCGTAACGAATAAATAAAAACAGTAGAAACTAGACAAAAGTATTTTCTTTATTCTATATCCTAAATTTTTTATTGAATAGAGGAGTCCAAAAGATGTTCGAAATGGTGATCATTTTCTGCAATACATAATGTCAGTTTTTAAATGAATCCACTACACGTTCCAACATATCCTCTGGGATTACCCTGAAAGCTCTAGTGATTTTTCGGTTCATGTCTTTCATAGATGTTGGAGGAGTTTGATAGACAATCCATTTGATATACCCCCATAAAAATGCATTTTGGTTAGGTCAGGTGATCTGGGTGACGACGCCACAGGTCCAATTTTTGATGGAAATGATCGTTGTGGTATTTCCGTACCTCAATTTTAAAATGTGGTGGTGCACCATCTTGTAGCCACATTCTAAGTCATGTTCCATATGGAACCCAGTCCAATGAATTCGAAAACTCATACCGAAGAAATATTACATATTTTCTTCCAGTGAGATCCTCTTGTCCTCTTTCGCGGAACTTCTCTTTGTAAATCCTCGGAGCAAGGAGGCAGTTTCCGTCACTTTCCCCCAAAGCATAGACCATGTGCAAAATATGTTCCAATACATAATTCGTAATGAATATGATTCAATCTACACGCGAAAGTAACTTCAACACATGGTGTTATTGACAAATTCCGAAATTAATTTTTTTATGCCATTCATGAATAACTGGGTTTATAAAGAGAAAAAAGCAGTATAAATATTCTTAAGGCTTTATACGCATTTCTTACCGTTGAAACCGCTGATAACTATCAATAGATGATATAAAAAACGCTAATATACTAGCGATTACATTCAATATTCGAAAAAAAAACATACGTTTCACAAAATTCCAACAAATTTCTAGAATAATCAGGACAGCAAA